TCCGTGAGGGGTTAAGTGGGACCGCACATCTAAGGCCTAGAACAGTACCTGGCACACGGACGCCGGCTACGAAGGACCAAGGGCACAGACAGACCAGATGTTCAAATTTAGGTGTCACTTGTATCATGACCTTAATTCTGAACACATTTTTGGTTTTATTCATTTTACTACAGGGCGCATGCTCCGCTGAGAGGGAAGGAGGGAGGGAAGGAGGGAGGCAGGGAGGGAGAGAGAGAAAACATCCCCCAAGAGCTGACGACCATGCTGCACCCCTTTCTCCTCCATTCTCCTTTGTGGATTCTGGACACGCACGCACACAAATGTTAAGCGTGTTTTTCAAGCCTCAATTCCCGAGCCCTGCAGTTGGCCATGTGGGATCCAGCCCGCCTTAACCACCAAACTCCCTGCTGGCCCTGAATAACTTTTTTTTTTCTTTTTTTTTTGGAGAGATTTTCACTGTAGGGCGCGTGCGCTCGCCAGACAGAGAGAGACATAGAGACAGAAATCGAGAAATCACCCATTCCTCCATTCTCCTCTCGGGATTTGGGCACGCTCGCACACGCGCCCGGCGTGAGTTTTAAGCCACCGGCGTGAGTTTTAAGCCACCGGGTCGGGACACGAACCGCGGTTGACTACGTGGGAGTCCAGCGACATAGCCATTACGCTAACTGCTGGTTCCCGGCCCTGAATAACTTTTAATTTACATTCTTGGATTTGGCCCTTTGCGGCCCTTTTCGTTTAAAAAGGAAACACCCTGAATGCAAATTATTATTTGGGGGTTAGTTGGTTTACCCAGGCTGTTCTGTTTCTGGTATAAATGTTCTGGATGAATAAATACCCTCTTTCACTTACTGAGAAAATTAATAATATGAACTTCTTTTACGTTAACTATCCTGGGGACCGCCCCCCATTACAGTTTAAAATGAGAACGGTAACTAGTGTGAATCCAAGGGTTCTGACCACGCCGACCACGCCCGCTCAGCGCAGAGGTCGGGCGACGCCACCGCGCACGCGCCGGGCCGGACTCCGGATGACGTCACTCGCGGAGGCCTCGCTCCCCGGAGCGCCATGCTGGGTTCGCGCGGCGCGGGGCTCGCGCGGGGCCTGCGGGCCGTGACGC